TCGACCAATAATCAGCTTAAAATCGTATTAATTAAAACAATGAGGACGTCTGCAAGACTCGTAATTACGTATTCAATTATTGTAGAAGAGGCTCTGGGAGCACTGGAGCACTGGAGGTGCTGTTACCAATTTGGCGACAGCCGTCGTCAGTGCAACAGGCGACAGACATCGGGTAAGAGGCAACAGGCAACAGACAACAGAGAAGCCCGATAAGTGCGTACAATTAATTAATCATTACACAAATACAAAAGTCAAAAGCTGCACAAAAAATGGCACAAATATCGATTTACCCGAAATAAATAAAAATATATATGTGTTTGTATATATGTGTGTTTGTGTACACAAAAAGAATATATATATGTAAAGGAAAAACTACAAAAGGCCGCCAATGGGACAGACGAGGAGCTTGGACAGTCGCGACGGGCAATCCATCAATTTGTGCAGCGCCAATTACGACTGTTACTGTTACCGTTACTCGTCACGTCGCCCTCTCTCTCCCTCCCATTCCTCTCTCGTGGCTATGGCCAGGGGCAGCTGCCACTGCAAGTGACAACAACATTCAAAGTCGCTTTGTAACGACGCATCCCCTCCCCCTCTCAAGCGCTGGCGTCAGAGTTTTGGTCACTTCTTTCTATACCCTAGGCCCATTGAGAGCGGCTGAACGGGATTGCCGTTCTTAACCAAGTGCGTCACATGTGTCGAACAACCAGAAGGATGCTCGACCCCCCGGATGACGGAGCTCTATGTCCCAAGCTCATCCACCCGTCGTGCAACTGACAGTAGTTAATATTGCATAATAATATCAATTTATAATTTTTGCTCGAAATCTCATTCTACTTCTTTAATATCGATCAATATCGATAGGCCATACTATCTATCGTAACATTCATTGAGAAGCATTAATTGAAAAGACACCGAACTTGGTAATTAGACTTACATAATGAAAGTTTTGTGTATTGTCTCTTATAAGTAGCGAGATTGACAGAGCCACTCCGCACAGGGTATATCGCAGTCTGGCTCTTCTAACACCCTTATACTTGTTTCTTTGCAATGAGCTAAGACGATCATTCGCTTGTCGGCCGACCAACCATATTGACGCCTATCGTATCTATATATCACTCAATACTTCCGACGGCGTCAATAGCGCTCAGGTAGTTTGATGGGTCGGCTCCCATGTGACCGGTGTGTCCCCATCCCCATTATGATAAGTTAATTACCATGTAGCATAAGCTGAGCCTGAGAGATATGCTTACGAAGGCTAGAAAGCAAAAGTCACAACAGTCTGGGGCAGAAAGTCTATATATATTTCAATTAATAGCAATACACTTCATAATATATATTTGCTTTGTAAATGGAAATTTTGAATGTTGTAATTTGATATTGCCTATTATTTTATAATGACAATAAGAAATAATAAATAAAACGTCTTATTATACATAAATACAACTAAGAACTTTGCAGTCGGGCGATACCAACTGCAGAATACTCTTTCACATCCCATCCACAATTTATTAGCTAAGATTTGATCTAATTCTGCACAAAATACAGTTTTTCCCTATTTGCCACGCCCTTACTGGCCGTAGACACCTCAGTCCTTAGAACGAGCTAACGGTAACCTAACTGCAAAATTGGGATACTTACGCGGCTTTGCGGTTTGCCACGTCCTCAATGATATATCCACCATAGCTTATAATGTTGGGTGGTCGACGCGGATCTACACTCTAAATTTCAGCTGATTTCTGGCATATCGGAAAATGCATTTTCCGATTTACCACGTCCCTAGTGGGCGGATCGGAAAAATTTTGTCTCTTTATAAATCGGAGATATTCACGAGTATGTGTTCCAAATTTCTAGTCACTAGCTTCTATAGCATCGAAAAAAAACTGCGTTCATACGGACAGACGGACATTGCACAAATCCAATATACTCAGTGAAATGAGTATAAAATCTTACGATCCTATGTAGATCTACGAAATATCTGAAATATCGGACCAGAATGTATAATGATATATTGAAAATATAGTAATAAGATTAAATAAGATGCATAAAATGACGTATATACTCGGAGTGACAACTCAAAATCAAAAGGATATTGCGGATATATATTTCCGGAGGAAAGTGGGAAACTTCGACCAAGTTAATAGAAATTGATATAGGTTTTTTTTAGCATACATATGTAGGTCACCTATTTGTTTTTCGTTGATTGTGAGGTAAGTAAGTGTAAGTACACGGCACCGATTTGCTTTGTTGTTACCAAACGCCAGAATCACACAGAAACGTTGTTCCTTGTTCTTAATTTCATTCCATGCCTCTATTTCTTATAAACAATAAAACAGTTTTATAATATAATAAATATAGTAGCTGGTAAATAATCAAGGTTCAGTTAAATCCCTTTTAGTAATACTGATTTAAAGTTCTATACGAATATTATTTTGATCGATATGAAAAACCGAGTCCATTTGACAATCTCCACCTACATAATATACCCAATACAATATTACATTTGTCATAGATACATACTAATATTATTCTACATAATAAAGATGTGTAGTTATTAACTAAGAAACATGCAGCTCTCAATAATCAAAGCTTACTGGCAAAGATTCAGATTCAAGCTTGACGACCTGAGTCAAGCGTCCCAAGCCCATCTATGTATAGTAAGCATATTTTCTCCGCTTCCTCACTGTACTTAATTTATATTTGTCTCTTACGTTTGGGAATTGGGCAAACATTAACTTAATTTTTAATTTGTATGTATATAAAATAAGTATATTTTAGATTTAACTAACTTCGTAAAATAAACTAAATTTAAATACAGCTGTAAATATTGACAATATTAAAAGTTATATATTTATTTTTTGATCTATTTAGTCTAAAATTATTTGTAATTCTGAGCTATTACAGAAAAGATATAGCCAATAAGCAAAATCACTTGCTATCTAGAGCCAGTACTGAGTATTTTCTCTCTGCATTCAAGTAAGTGAAGTCTGTTTAGAATTGTATAAATGATGATATATGTATGTAAGCCGTATAAGTGATAGCTACGAGCCCCAACCAGGAATAATTCGAACAGCTTGTTTGTATATTGTCAATACTACTAGAGATAACGCATACCAATTTTGTTGTCTTAAAAAGAATTTTATTCTTTTAACGATGAAGTTTGAAACGATGAAAGTTTTGCTCTATTGCCAAAAACAACAGCAATATGTGTAATTTATTCAAATGGTAAACTTAGGAGATAAGAAAAAATCGACCACTATTAATTTGAACGCTGCGTAATATGATTTACTATCGTACTTAAAACAATCATTTAATTAACATTAGAATTCTGCAATGCTACTATTACTCAGTTCAAGTAAATCGTTATATTTATAGATACACATATCCAAAATAGAACATTTACAGATAGTTTACATTAGCTTTCGATTAGTGTTTACTTATCGAGGTGCTCTACTATACTTTAATTGATTATTTTTGCACGCAAAAGAAATTTCATTTCTATAGATAAGGTATGCAATTCGGCTGAAACACTCTTTGTGCTGCAGCGTGAATGCGTTAACAGCCAATGAGCATCAATCTATATGGCTGTATGGCTGTATGGACTTTATTATCTTTCACCTAGATATTTCCAAATAAGACGCAGTTTCCTGGTTGTTGCTGAACTCAACATGAGCTCAGCCATGTGCGTGAGCCTCAGGGAAGATATAGCCACTTGCCATGAGGTGGGACAGTGGATGTGGATGTGAGCGTGGAGTTGGGATTGGAAACTGAAGCTGATGCTGAAGCCGATGCTGAAAATAAAAACACACACATCCTGTTACTATTAATTGCTGCTGTCCGAAAATATAACAAATCACCTTGGAGCGCTGGGCAGAGGCCCGAAAGGACGAGATACTGTCCAACAGAGCAAAGTAAGTTGTGCTGCAAAGGGGATTGGAAAGTGGATTCAGTGTGCGCTACGGGCTGGGATTGGCATTGGGACTGGGATTGGAATCGGGCACGGTTAGCTAAACCAAACAACTATGAGTACACGACAAAAACTTGTGAAAATGTCAATCAACTCGCACATAAAGGAGAAACCCAACAGCAACAAACACACAAAAGTTTTCCAGACAGCACGAACAGACAGGCAGCCAAAAATGATGCATTGTGCGTGAAAGGTGCAATGCCGGAGTACGGAACATGAAGACATTTGAATGTTGGTATCTCTATCTGGGCAGTGTGACAGACTCGTAGGGGGCGCCTACGAATTGCATCCCACTGAGTCAGACTCCGAGGCAGAGTCAGATTCAGAGACAGAGTCTGAGAGAGAGAGAGAGAGAGAAAGAGAGAGAGAGAGAGAGATGGCAAGGGAACGAGGCGCATTAAAATTCCACAGCAGCCATAGATGGGTCTGTCATATGTGGATATGATGATGACGATTGATAGCTGCACAGCTGGCACATCCCATTGAAGCTTCGTTGACCAATTTTTGGCCACTACCTGCAGTGTCAATTCATTTGGGAGTTTCTAGCCGTGTGTAGGTGCGAAAACCAAAAACTAACAAAACGTGCCAAAAGTATCAAAAAATTAAATATATATACTATATACATGTGCGTGTGTGTGAGTGTGTCACTTCCAGTTAAATAAGACATGAAACATGGGCGTAACTCTAATATCAGCATTTGCCAAGGGACCGGGACCGGGGCAGGGACCAGGACCGGGGCTATAACCGGCAAAAAAAAAAAAAAACAACAACAGCAAAAAAATCGAAATGAAAACAGCAACTGCCAAAACCGGTAATATCCACGGCTTGCCGACAGTCCTCTGATAAGAGCTCAGCAGCTCAGCGAGAGCGAGAGCGAGATGGCACTGTGCAGGCAAGGCGAGCAGGGCGAGCTAGCGGCCAGCCGTGTGTGCGCGAGCGAGACAACAGCTGTGCTCACTCGCTGGGCGTGGCCTGCTCGCACGCCACTCGTCGTCGTGTGCGTTTGTTTGGCTGTGTCTGTTGGCTGCGCGGCCAGCAATCAGTCGCCACTGGGTTAGCGCGCTTGCAGCACGAAGCTCGAGAACCGTCGCGTAAATCAAAGTCAGAGGGAGAGACCGTCGGAACTGTAACTGCAAACAGTTATGTCGTGTTTCTTGTAACTGTTAATGTCAATATACCAAAGTGTATCGCAAAGCAAACGAGAGGCGCGAGTTTCAAATCAAACACATACTAAACGCAAACGCGCCTCTGTTTCAGCAAGCTTCTTGGCGCACTCAACAAAGTTATTTTTTGAAAAAAGTTAGTTTATGTTGAAAAAAGAAAAACAAACACGAAAGTGGAAAGCAAGCAATTTTAGGGACCTTATATGTAGTGCCTAATTCTTTATCTAAGACATACCCGTCTACATTTCGACTCACCGTCAAAGCAAGTCTCTAATATCCTCACTTACTTTAAAGAATTTCATTACAGAAGAACTTTCTTTATATATTAGTAAAGTAGACTGTAATTAAATTGTAATATTTTGAATTGGAGATTGGAAATATAGGAAATTGGATATACATATTTATATATGTATATGCAACATTCATCCGAACTAATTGTATGAATATTCATTAAGCTTTAGGCAATACCTTAAGGGCCCTAGCTTTGCACTAGACACGAATTCAGGCAACATTCCCCGTCTCGCCCCTCTTCTAGGCAATCAAAATTGTTGAGTGCAGTCTTGGCTACAATATGATGGACGTTAGCAGCATGTACGGCAACCATCCACATCATCATCCACATGCTACTGCCACGGCCTACGATGGCTACGGCAGCAACTACTTTCCCTCCCCGACCCACCATATTCAACAGCAGCAGCAACAGCAGCAACAACAACACCAACAACACCAACAGCAGCAACAGCAACTGCAGCAGCAGCAGCAACTGGCCTACAATGGCTATGACAGCAACTCGCCCAATTACTATCAGCAGCAGCTAACGCCGCCGCCAACCCAACACCAGCTGCAACATCCTCTCGCTCAGCAACAACAGCAACAGCAACAGCTTTACCCGCATTCGCACCTGTTTAGTCCCAGTGCAGCAGAGTACGGCATCACAACCACGGCGGCTGTGGCCACCTCCGGCAGCACTCCACTACATCCCACTAGCCACTCGCCCGCCGACTCCTACTACGACAGCGATTCCGTGAACCCGTATTACGCTACAGCCGCTGTAGCTACCGTACCGCCTCCTGCCAACAATTCGCCTGTGACAGCGGCCAATGCAACGCAGCAGCAGCAGCAGCAGCAGCAACAGCAACAGCAGCAGCAGCAGGCTCTGGATGCGCATGCACCCATTATTAGCTCGGAGAACGGCATGATGTACACTAACCTGGACTGCCTCTACTCGCCAAGTGTGGCGCAGGCGCAGCCACATGTCTACGCCGGCCAAATGGAGGAGAAGTATGCTGCAGTGCTGCATGCGGGCTATGCGGCTGCAGCGCCTGGCATGCTGATGGAGGATCCGTCGGACGCCATGTTGCAGCTGGCTGCCGGACAGCAGCAGTCGCCGCCTCAAATGTGGCACCATCATCAGCACATGGGAGGCGGCTACGCCCTGGATTCAGGCATTGCCATGGACTATCCGCACGCGCATCTGCATCACGGTCTCAGTCACGGACACTTAGCCAGCTTGACTAGCAGCGCACAGCAGCAGCAGCAGCAGCAACAGCAACAGCAACAACAGCAGCAACAACAACAACTTCAGCAACAAGCGGCCGGTAGTGCACCTACTCAGGCGGTGCCGCAGCATTCGATATCGCCCAACGGCGCTAGCAATTGCCTGTCCATGGCAAGAAATCAACGTGGCGGCGGCGTCACGTCACCTGGCAGCTCCACCTCATCATCCACAGCATCTGTGTCCGCTGCGAACTCCACGCACCAAGCGAACTCCCAATCCAAATCCCCAAATCACGCGACCAACATTCCAACATACAAATGGATGCAGCTCAAGCGGAATGTTCCCAAGCCCCAAGGTGAGTGCAATTGCATATCCATGTATTGTCTTGGTCAAGTTAGCGTATTACATGAGTATATATCAGCGTAGTATGCATCACTCGCATGCAATAAGCAATGGGTTTTATCTAAAGTCTTAAAAATAGATTAGGCGCATAAATAAGAGCTAATGAAAGTACGCATAAAGTTATTCTTATCATGAAATATTATATGTATACACCCATTCCTGGTGTAAAGTTTAGGATATTTTTGGGGATGAAACTGAAGTGTGGTTCAAGTGCTGATTCCAATTAACAATTCGCCCACAGGCAAACGAGCTAAAGCCACTATCGAAAATTAGCCAGAAAGTTAACCAGAATTCAGAAGACCGAAAATCAGTAATCGAATATACGTAACCCTTAACCTGTTATAGCAGTAGCTTAAAATCTTTCATCTAATAGTCTCCGTGGAGACTCATATATATGATCAAATGTTATTCGGGATGTTAAGGCTTACTTATAAAATGCAAATATGAATGTATATAGACTCATATATGTTGTGAGATGCTAAAGGAATGTACATATACATTTATAGGTGATAAAGGGAACTGCATGGGAGAGCGCTATAAATTCTAATAACATAAATTGACTTGTGTTTATGTGAAATGTTATTAAAAATGTTAACGTTCATTCCCTCACATAATTTTATTTAAGATCTCAATTTATGCATATGTAGAGATTGATTTTAAAAATGTGAGCCCCTCTGCTATATAAAGCGATTATATTTCTAATAACATACGTAAACGTATATATTTTGTGAAATGTTATTAAAACGGTTAACTTGAGCCTTTAATAACAATAATTGTAAATGTATAAAGAAAAACTTGTATATTTAGTGAATTATTATTAGATAGGTTAGCGCTCCCTCATAAAATTCCCTTTAACTTATAAAAATGTCTACAATGTATTATTGAATATATACAGCATCATTTAGCTTATGCGAATGTCGAATATCCATTCCATCGTTGTTAGAGGACTTGTAACAGAAGTCAACTTAAGCGCAGACATCAATAGATCATGTTTTAAACCTGTTGAACGGGTATTCCTAAGTAGCTGCGGCGTATGACATATCCAAAAAAAAAATATTACAAAAAATAAATAAAACTGAGAGAAAGGGTCAAAAAAAGCAAAATGAAACAAAAACAAAATAATAAAATATAAAATAAAAAAAAAAAGGAAAAAAATACGATGACTTTCAAAACTGATTGACAGTCGAGATATATACGCGCAAGAGCCAAGTGCGTCAGACGTCCCACCGAGGGCATGTCACCTAAAAATAAGAATGTCTCTTCAAATGCCAAAGATTTCGCTTGACGGTCTCTCACAATGATTTCTGCCTGCTTTGGAGCCCCTCGCTCTATCTCTCTCTCTCTCTCTCTCTCTCTCTGTCTGCCCTCTCCCCCCTCTCCAACATCCTTGCCACTAGCCTTTGGCATATTTCTTGCATATTTCAGATAATTTTTGTCAATGCTGTGCAGTCAGTCAGGTTGTCACTTGTCACTGCGCCGAGAAGTTTATCTCGGAATTAGCCAGCCTAAGAGAAATACTCAAAGATTAACTCAAATGCACGATTACGTGTTTGGGTCAAATATACTTACGAAAATGATTTATTTATTGTAAATACATTTTTCGAAATTCCATATTAGTTAATAATTCATCTATGATTTCTAACTGATGGCTTTACCTTTCTGAGTTATACAGATCTAAGTATTTGTGAATGGACACTACCAATAATAATATTTAAAATTACTTGGAGAATATTTTTTCAAAATATATATTTTATATATTGATTCGAGACATGTTTCTGTTACTTTGTGTAATGTAATATTTTGTAAAATTACATTCTTGATTTAAAGAGAAAATAAGACTATTTACTGTATATTTCCAATTTTGCATCTGTTCTAACCTTTACATACTCATTGTTAGCTACGTACATATCTCGTATAAGAGAGTGCGCTATTCTATGAAGAAGCCATTCTGAAAGTGCTTCACAGCTAAATTGAATTCATGCTCTCGAGCTTCGTTGAACCTGTTGGCCAAATTGATGTGACAGACACATTTGACTTCCAGACTTCGAAACTAGTTAAGCACTTTACCTGTTGCGACAACAGAACGACTTCAATCAGATATCAGAGCTAGTGAGTTTCTACCTACCTACGCCTGAAGCGTAATCCTCCTGCTACACCAATAATCATACAAATATTTGCTTATTAATGCTGAAAAGTGTCATTTACATGCATCGTTTTCAATTAAACGACGCCAGAGATCCCCACGCGCCGCACCCAAAAGCCCGGCTGACAATGACATGAGAGAGAGAGGGAAAGAGAGAGAGAGAGAGAGAGAGATGTGAACGACATAGGTCCGACTGTAAATCCATACGGGGCGCTTAAACGGCGAGTCAAACAAACAATTAAAGCGTGCAAAGAAAATAAAGGAAAAGAAAATGAAAAATCATAATGAAATATAAGAAATGCAGCACCGAATGAAGATCAAGAAAGAAGCTCGATGGCTCGGCGGCTCGGCGGCTCGGCTGGCAGTTGTCGCTGCGGCCCGAGAGTAGAGCTGGTGCTGGATGCCGATCTGGAAGTCAAGTTGGCTGTCAGAAAAAATGATTATTTAAATAAAGAGTTCGTTCATTTGAGCCCCGCTGCAACCGAACTGTCGCTGAGTCCCAACTGCAAAAGCTGAAGCTGGGGAGCAGGTCTCTCAACTGCAGTCGCAGTCGCAGTCGCAGTCGCAGTCTCAGTCACATTGTCGGCCTCTACCTCTGCCTTTGCCTCTACCGTGATCTCTGGCTGTGCGCGCACATGCCTGCTTCAGTCCATCTGTCATGTTATCCATTTTCAGTCAGAGAACAGCATAATCAGCGATCATGGTTATAAATGGTAGCATTCGACATATTGGCATTCACGCACAGCAGAAGCTTGTCAGTAAAACGTGTATCAAAAATACCTACACTCACACTCACACTCACACTCACACTCATACTCGCACTCACACTCACATTCGTATTCACATCCATTGCATTCAATTCAATGAGCTCTAATGTGTTAATCAGCATTTTTCAATAACCAGACCATATCACAAACACTGAAAAGGTAAGGCGTGAGAGGGGGAAATGGGGTGTGGAGGGAGGAGGAGAAACAGAAAGGCTAACCTATGCAACTATGCGAGTATGTGACTATGCGACTAACTGCCAGTTAGCTAGCCAAGGATTAATTACAATACACGGGATTCGCCATTGACGACTTGGCCAGGAGCATGTCACTCGACAGAGGGCTCAAATTAAAGATACGAATCGTAGCTGGATGAGTAATAGCAATAAAAAGTAGCGCATTGAGTGCAGTAGCACATTTGAATTCATAAATCGGAGTCTGGGAGTTTTAATAGCATCTATCAGAGTAGATTACGACTCAATAAGAAAACGGTCTGCTAACCCTACCTTATAGAGTGTATGTTAATATACGTATTTCGAGTATGTATACACAATCCCATATCGAAAATACCATTGATTCCTATATAAGAAGTATTCCAATTAGCATCAAGTCGAAAACTTTATTGTTGATTGATTACATCAGATTGACAAGAAACTGTCCATCACCTGATTGGGGTCCAATTTGGTGTTTAAAAAGATATTTTTACAGATATATCCCAAGATATTTATACAGATATATCACAAGATATTTTTACATATACATATGTATATCACAAGATATTTTGAAACACATCTTTGGCTTGGGGCTTGGGCATTTTCCCAGCCAATTAGTCGAGTGCAGTTATCTAAAACTCGAGCTGAATGCAATGCGTGTATTTGTTACCGTTTATTGCGCTTTTTTATGGCCGCACATAATTGGGAGCCGAATGGGCAACGTCTTGTGGCATAACAATTTAATTACTGTTCGCAGCTAAAGAGTTGTGAGTGCCTCGTGTTTTATTGTTTTTTAAACGATCCACCACTTTGTCGCGGCATTTCCCCCTCGGGCTCTTGAGGGGGCGGGGCAGTGGCCTAACACGCAAGCTGAAATGTGAAAATGTGAAAATATGGAAAAAAAAATATGAAATATGAATAGGAGCTGACCAAACTGAACGAAAAAGAAACCTAACACGAAAATTAACATAACTGTCGCTGCGACTAGTTAGCTAAAAAAAGGAAAACGAAATTGAATATTACTGCTGGTAGTAGCGGCCTAGCAGATACCCTGTATACCTTAGAAGACAATATAAACTAAATCGAAATAAATAAAAGCATCGAGACTTTGAAGCCCATCATTTATAGACTGATCGAAATTCCGACCTACCCAAACGCCCACAGTGGCTTCACTTTACGGAATCGTCAAAATCTTCTGATGGCTACAAGCATTTTAAGAAGCATAGTATACCCTCAAGTCGCATATTCAGGGATTGTGGGCATACCCCGTACATAACAAAAAACTGCTTTGGGCCAAAGTTCAGAGAGGTGTTAGCCGGGGCAGCAGCAGCAGCAGCATTGGAGGGGTCGATTGGAGGAGTGGCACGGCCCTTGCAGCTCGCTGTGGCGTATTCAACATTTATTTGATGTGATGTTTTGATATTTCTTGACACCAACACGCGAGGGCGACGCAGCAGCGAAATGAATTAATTACTTGCATTTCAAAACAAAACACACACACACATAAAAATGTGAAAGAAACAACAAACGAGACCTACAAAATGAAAAAAAGGTCGGACTATTTAAACGAAATGATATTTTGGATAGAAAAGTGACCACCAGGAATTTGAGATAAGATCAAACGCCCAGTCCAGACAGCGAACAGCGAACAGCGCACAGCGAACGGCGGACAGCGAGACCGACCGACCGACCGCCTGACCGCCCGACCGCCCGCCTGTCTGTCACCGGTCATCACGCTGGCTACTTGGACTTGGGCCTCGCTCTTGGCCCTCACCACTGGGGAGCCACCAGAACACAGAAATACAACAACAAACAAAATGAGAAAAAACAAAGC